TTATATATGTGTTTATGTGTGAAATTGGATGTGGGTAACTTGTATTCATAAAAGAGATGTGATTTCTAGGGAGAAAGATTATGTTCTTTCTTAGCGAGATGTGTTATGTTGCTCAACAAGAAGCCCTAGAGGGCTCAACTTGCTCAGATAGATGTTGGTCCCTCAACTAGATGTTGGTGGCTCAGTCAGATGTTGGTAGCTCAACCAAATGTTATCCACTCAGCGAGAGGCTCTAGGGAGCATAACTTGCTCAATAACTATTAAATGGTTGTTTTATCCTTATAATCTTGATACTACCTTTTTATTAATGATTAGTTGATGTATTTTAGAATGTAAATGGGATGTATGAGGTGATATGAAGAATATATGATATTTGAAGTGAAATTATGTGTATGTTATTGCATCGAGTCTATTTGACTTGCATCATATGTATAAAAGATGTTTTTTTTAAAGGGTACAATATAGAATACAACCACTAAGGAATGTCCCTTGTCTAAAAGCTTGGGAACCAACCTTGGTGATAACTCGGTTTGGAAGTCTCAATCTTGCCCTCGTGTGCATGGAATGTATCTTATGCAACTTAGTTATCTTGACTAGACCTTGCTAGTATGTCCATCTAGTGAGAGTGCATAGAGGGTGTGACCCAAAATATACTCCTAAACTACTCTACGTGTATTGCTAGTGCCAATGGACAAATGTGATGTTTTTGCTAGTGCCACATGCATGATAACATGTAGTTTGTATCCATTACATAGTGCATTATAATGTAATTGTTATTATTTATTATGATATGACTAAATGAATGTGGTTATAATGTTTGTTTTGTTATGCTATATCTTGTTGTGTGCTTGTTTGTGTTTGTCTATCTGGTTTGTATTCTTGCACCGTGAGCCAAAGTGAGATATTTCTCACTCCTTTTGCTTTGTGTTATTTTCCTTACTTTTTATGCAAATGATCATTAACATGAGGCTGAAGATATTGGTAATGAGGCTTAGGCTTCAATGTTGGATTTTACTCTAATAGGACATGTGACATCGAGATGTAACTAGTACTAGATTAAGATGTTGTTTTATTGAATTATTTTTGGAAAACATTAGTTTTATTTCCTTTTAATTTTAGTTGATTATGTTATTTTGTCAAGTTAAGAATGCGATGCTTTCTACCTGAACACATTTGGTTTTGTTTATAAAGAATTATGATATTCAATTTTTATTATTTATGTATTATGGCATATAGGGTAGAGAGTGTCACATTAACTTAATTTGGTTCAACTAGTGAAAGTACACCAAATATGGAAGAAAAGCTTGCACATATGGAAAATGAACTTGTAGTTGTTAAATCTGATATGCAAACACTTCTTTCTTATATTGTTGAAGGACCACAACTTTCATGAAAATTTGGCTGCTATGGCTATTAGCTTAGTTCATATTTCTACTAATTAGGTATATAATGAAATTACTGGAAATGATTCATGAGTTAAGAAATTTGCATATGTTTTATGTGAAGTCAAAAAATGATCTTAGATCTCTCATTTTTCATAAGTTTTAATGATGACAAACACTACGTCTTTTGGCAAGAAAACATTTTTGAAAAGTTACTATTTCAGATTTTGTAAGACAAAGTAGCATTTGTAAGACGAAACAAATCAGACGAAACATACAATCATTCTTAACATCCATTATTTATTATGACCAATGCATTTAAGTTTTCAAATGAATGTTTTATACCTTAACTGATCGAAAGTTGTTGTCTTGGAACTCACATTCTATTAAAAGTATCTATATGAAAACATGTAGAGCATCAAAATAAAGGGTAAAGATCTCAAATCTCACGAAAAAGGCATAGAAAAAGGATTGCATCCTCCTATTCCTATTTTGCTACTCTGCTTTGATAAGTAGCTTGATCTATCAAAGAAAAAAATATGTTTAGGTGAAATTCATGAATTGAAGCAATAGATACTTCCTCTCTCTCTCTCAATCAGATGAAAGAGTAAGATGAAGTAGGTCTATGAATCAGACTCAAGAAGCTACAATAGTCATCTCTTTTAAAGCTACTATATAATAAGTTCTAGAACTCAATAGAAAACAAGAAGTGATACATAGAGAAGATTTTGAGAAATAGAGAAAATATACAACTCAAGAGAAACCACATAGAAAATCTCCTTCAAGAGTTTTCTTGTACTTGAATTTTCATTGTAATCACGTCTAAAAGAGACAACAACTGCAACCTTATAATACCTTCATAACCATTGTTATAAGGTAGAACATGGAGAGGCTTGATGTAAAAGAATACTTGGGGTTGAGCCTAGAGAAGCTTACTTGGAAAAAAAATACTTAGGTAATGGCTTGAATAAGCCAGTCAAAGAACACTTGTGTTGAGTTAGAAGTGGCTTGGTGAAAGAATACTTGTAACTTTGTTAAAAGTTAATGGAACTTAATTTGGCTGGATTAAGAACTGGATGTGGCCTCAGTGGTTGAGTTGAACCAGTATAAAAATTTCCTGCGTTAATTGATTATTCTTTCTAACCTTTCGCTTGTTGCAGATACTACTTCACTTACTTGCAAACATACAAGTTTTTTATACACACTATTCAAACTCCCCTTCTAGAGTTTATCTTTTCTCCACATTGTCTTAGTTTTATTGTATTTGGTGATTGAAATTGATTAATGTAAAAATTATTTTTTATTTGTTCCAAGCATCAGATGTTGGAAGTGGTGCTACATCACCAATCAACATGAGAGGATCATGAGGAGGAAGAAATGTTGATAATGAGGTGGCCAAAGGAAGACTAATTAAACACTGTATTTTAGAAAACACTACTTCGATTTATGTAATTAATTTGAAGCTTTTGAAGTACTTTGGTTCTCTTTGATAAAACTATTTATGTTTTTCGTTTAATAGAACTATTTATGTTTTTCCTTTGATAGAGCTATTTTATGTTTTCCAAGTGCAAGTATTGAATGAATCAAGTTTATATTTTCTATTTTTTAAGAAATTAAATTATATTGAATGAATTTGGTTGGTTAAATATTTTAAAAGAATTGTTAATTTCTTATAATTCACACAATTGTGACACTTTGAATATATACAGGTGTTTTGAATATATATATGTTTTAAATATTTAAAATATTTAATTGAAAAATACATTTTTTATAGATAATTATGATAAATCAAACTATCAATTTTAAAAATAAAAAATATTTATTTAAAAATTATAGTAGTTGAAAACACCATAGTTTTATGTATAATTTATTATAATAATGACTGTTGATGATGCCATATTATTATGAGAATAATGGTGCCTAGTTGCACCATTATTTACATACAAAGTTATATTTTATAATCTCATTTAGGACATTTTAAAATGACACTACACAATCAAGCATATTGGTAACCATGATTGTACTTAATATTATGATTGTGCATAGTAGCGTACTTTTCTTGAAGCGTGGTCATGCAAAAGTCAAGAACGGTCGTGCATGTCTTCAACCTTCAGATTTGATTTATTTTATCTCTTAATTGTCCTTATTTCATTTTTTAATTTTTTTCCTATTTGTTACACACTTAATAAAAGAAGTGAACTATTGTCAAAGATTTAACATTAATTTAAAGTAAAGTAACAATGAATATTAGGTTATTGTGCAACATTTTGAGGGTTTAACACTATTTTGAAAAGTGTTGAGTTTTTTTTATTGACATTATTCAAGTCCCCTTTTAGTATATTCTTTTCTCCACAGTTATTCTTGAGAATCAATACCTCTCTACTTGGAATCGATGCCAATTCTAGGAAGTCAATTCCTTCATGCGAAATTGATATCCTTAATAATTCTTTTTATGTTTTGATTTTTCCTTTTTTTTAATTAATCAAAATTCAAATAAACAAAAAATATAAGTCGTAAAATTGCAAAAATGTAAGACTAAAAAAATCCTAATCTAATGAGGAATAAGGATGTTTCTTTTAAGCACACATGATGAATGTCTTCCTTTTCCTTATGAATAGTACCATTTAGGTGGTTTTAGGTACCAAAATAGTCTTGGATCATACAATCACTACAAGAAATGTTACATATAGTAACATACAAAAAGTGACACTATAGGTATAATATATAGGTATATATATCTATTTGACATATAGTTACACAAAATTTTAGTGTTGATTTTGAATGAGATTTAACATATTTTGTGTCACTATAGCCTATACCCACAATTTTTTTTAGCAATATACCAACATAAATTATATTTATTGCAGGCAAAAGTAAATTTTTGTAATAATTTGTGTCACTATAGAACACGTGTCACTATAAGGTATGTGTCACAATATAACAATTTTCCTATAACAAGTGTAGAACTTGTGGAATTAGTCACTTGGGAATCGGAACAGGATAAGCAGCCCATTGGATAAATCTTGAAAAGCCGTTAGAGAGTACACAAGAATATTAAATTACATGGGCAGTAAAGTGCTTAACCCAGATAAATCTTGCAAAATTTCACCCCAAAAAAATCATGCCAAGTTGAAAATATTGTTTTTTCAAAAAAAGTACACCTCAGAACTCTACGAGACAAACAATTCACCAACCTCAGTGTTCCCCTTAAATCGAACCCAACCTACACCAGCCCTCATACCTTTAGATACACCAACCATCATTACAGTTCCTTCCACCAATCCAGCTGCAACACCTATGACAGACCCGTCTCCTCCTCTAAACACAAATGCTCGAACCAATTCTCTTCACAACAAGAACTGCTTGCTACAAAGGCACAAGCTAAAAACACAAAAAACAAAGCTAAAACCAAAAAAACCATCATTATGTCTAAAAGCTCAATTTCACACTCAAGTCAATCCAACCATGTAATCAGATAAGGGGATAAATAAATTGAACAAGAATAACAAAGGACAAACAATAAACATGCTGTCGTTTTCCAAAATTCAAGGAAGTATAAAGGACTCTCATCGTTGATTCATAGTTCCAAGCAAAGTAAAAATGTGTTAGCAACAAAAGTCAGTCCACATCAACACAAGAAGAACAGTCAATGTCTTGAAGTGTGATTCTCCCCATGTACAAATCATTCAGATGATCAGTACAGAGAGGGAGGCACTTACGATTTAGGCTTTCATGAATTACACCCATCCCTTGCACCCATTTTTCTTTCTGCAATGGGTTCACATTCAATCTGTTTTGCAGCAAATGGACCCGATAAAAGACTGTTGTTGTCTTGTCACAGAAATGGGCAATGCAATGTGATGGAGGCTCATCGGATGCCAACCTTACAACAGCCAAAGATAAAGCCCCATCTACTGGTTTTGGATCAGAAAGATTTCCATCTCCCATCATCTTAACCTCTCTTTCTGTAGGAAAATGTACTTCGTGATTTCCATTTATATCATAGACTTTCAAATCTTTGCTGAAATACTTTATAACTTCACGCTTGGTGGATTCATGCTTCTCTGCTAATGTCAAGATACAGGAGAACCTCAAATGATAAGTTACAATAGTTTTGACTGTCTTGAAGTTGTGGGTACAGCAGAAGAAATCAAGCCACCTTCTTGCTATACCAGCATACCACTCGATAATATGGGCATCCTCAAGTGCAACAAGAAATTCAATTGGCCTTGGACGACCCATATGATTTGTAAACCCAACCAACTTCACAGCCTTTCTTATGAGTATTTCTGGTGCCTCAACTTTCATACATAGCCTTGTCAAATCCTCAACCGTTCCTTTCGCATAATTTTGTTCCTCTTCTTCCTTCACTCTTCTTTCTTCTTCCTCTATTACCTTCCTAGCTTTCATAGGATTCAAATGTTTATCTACCTGCTCTTGAAACCTATCATAGGCATCAACAAGCTCGGGTGGTAACTGATTTCTAATGTGTCTCAACTGAAGGAAATCACCAGCTGATAGGCTTCGATGCCATTCTTGACACTCATCTATGCTCCCCAAGAACTCTTGTACTACTTCATCTGCCCAAGATCTAAAGATTTCTAGGACCTCTTTTTCAATACTACAGTCAAATTTAAATCCTTCACTTTCAAAATTTCTACAAGGAAGGGAGAATTGTAACAACCCAATTTTCACAGATTGTTTGAGAGCCCAAAAGCCCAATAAGGGTAATTTAGTAGCCTATAACGGGTCGTTCCCAAATTGGAATGGGTCGTTCCAAACTACTAAAAAGAGGGTAATTTAGTAGCCTAGAACGAGTCATTCCCAAATTGGAACGGGTCGTTCCAAACTACTAAAATGAGTGATTTTGTAGTTCAGAACGGGCCGTTCCCAAACTGGAACAGGCCATTCCAAAATACAAAAATTGTCCACAAATTTTAGATGGGAACGGGGGGCGTTCCCAAATTGGAACGGGGCGTTCCAAATCACCAAAAATGCCTATAATCCTAATTGAGAATGGGTCATTCCAGATATGGCCATTGTGGTTTAAGTGCAACCCCAGAACGGGCTGTTCTGGTTTGAGAACAGGCCGTTCTGGATGTGAATTTTACACATGCCGTCAGAGTCCAGAATGGAACGTTTCAGATTTGAAACAGGCCGTTCCGGCGACGCCTGATGCCTATAAATAGAGAGCTTTGGAACTCCCAAAAAGCACACATTTCAGTTCTGACTTCTTTCAGTTCTGACTCCTTTCTTCTACATTCTCTTCTTTTCTTTCTACACTCTTTGAAGACCGAGGGGCACTCACAGGAGGAGACCAAGGAGATCTCTATTTTAGTTTTAGCTATTGTTTATCCAGGTACGGGGGAAAATGGGAGATTTATATGTAGAGTTACATGAGGGGATTGGGTAGAGAAAGAGTCCCTTAGAATTATGGGTAATTTTATAATTATTTTTGTTTGAGGAATTGATGATCCCATTAGATTTTGTATGTGTTGAGGATTAGAAATATATATTTAATTTGTAAGAATGATGATCTGGGAGAGAGAACGAAATTGTAGAAAAATGCCTGTGAGTTAGGTTTTTGGAAAAATTGGGGGTTTTACTATTTGATTTAATATTGTATTAAATTGGTGAATTAATTGGGTTTTATATTAATTTATAAATATTATTGTTATATTATTGTTATAGATGTGTATTCATGGTGAATGTCTTTTGTGATGAATATGTGAGTTTTTTTGGTTTAGGATTTTAGTGGGAAGCTTTGATATGAATTTGAGGTGTGAGTTTTGAAGGATTGAGGTATTTTCATGGCTTTATATGTTGATACACTATTGTTGTCTGGTGTAGGGGATGTTTGCACTACAATTTTATTGTGCCAGTACAAGTGTTATATATTCACAGAATTAGATTTTGTGATCTTCATAAAAGTTGTATCCTTGGATGTTATCTTTCTAATGGAACTAGAATCAGATAAAACGGAGGTCTAGAACTCTAGTTATAACAGATTTGGTGATCAGAAGTCTAGTTGTAAGCACTGAATATATTTGTTGTGGTTTTTGAATTTTTAGCTAAGAATATGATCTTTTTAGAATCTTATGTCTTCATAAGAGTTGTAGCTTATTCTCTTAGCTTTCTTTTGAGATAGGTTTGAGATCATTGGGATGAGTATAACTCTCTATGTGTCATTTTCTTTGATAGTTGTTAAAGGGAGGAATATGTTGTCATGATGTTTTTGAGTTGTTAGGCATAGCAAGGATAAAAACTGATTTGGATATGATGTTCTGAGGTGTTGTCATTGAGTGGTTGTTTAAGATGGTATGATGCTATGTGGTAAGGTTGGTTCATGTACATGCTATATGGTGTAAACGGTGATTGATTCGTACATGCTTAGAGATGGTATATATGAAGGATTAAAGTAGGTATTCTAATATGATTTGATATGAGGATAGATGACCTTATGGATCAATTAGCGAGTGTTTATGTGTTTAGTAAGATTGACCTTAGGGTGTGATATTACCAGATTGGAGTTGAGAGTGAGGTTATATCCAAGATAGATTTAGGCTAAGTTATCTAAGTATGATTTTTGATTGTATGAAGTGAATTTTATAGGTCTTGTAATTTCTAGCGGGGGTATAATATAGATCTATTTAAGGTAGAAGTTGTGCTTAAGTGGGAGATACCTAAGTCAGTTAGTGAGGTTAGAGAGTTTTCTTAGATTATCTCATTGTTATTAGAGGTTTATTGAGTAAATTTCTAAGATAGCATTACCTTTGAGAAGATTGACTAAGAAGAATGTTGTCATTGTGTGAGATAGTAAGTGTGAGAGTAGTTCCCAAACTCTTAAGGAAAGATCGACTAGTGCACTAGTGTTAACATTAGCCGATCTTAGTAAGTCTTTTGTGGTATATGTTAATGTTTCTAAGATAGGTTTGGGTGGAGTGTTGATGCAAGAAGGAAAGGTATTAGCTTATGTTTCTAGGCAATTGAAAATCCATGAAAGGAATTACCTTACCCATGACCTTAAGTTAGCGGTTGTAATATTTACACCAAGATTTGGAGACACTACCTATATGATTCTAAGCTTGAGCTATTTAGTGATCATAAGAGCCTTAAATATCTTTTGACCAAAGGAGTTGAATATAAGACAAAAGAGATAGTTGGAACTTCTTAAGGAATAAGATTTTGATCTTATTTGTTATTTGGCCAAAGCCATTGTGGTGACCGGTGTTTTGAGTAGGAAACTTTTATATTTATCTTCCCTTATGATTAGAGAGATGGATTTTTGGGCTCAAATTAGGGATTTAAGTTTGACTTATGAGATTACTCCTAGTAATGTGAAACTAGGTATTACTCGAGTAACAAGTGGATTGTTGAAAGAAATTGGAGAAGAATAGTTAATTGATTCATTTTTGGTGTCAAGATATGAGGTTATAGGACAAGGTAATGAATAAAAGGTTGCCTTAAGTATAAATGGAGTAGTAAGACTTTGAGACCGAGTATGTGAACCTAGTGAACTTACGCTTAGGCACTTGATCTTTGGAGATGGTCATAGAAATAAAGCTAATATTGTGATAGATGCCTTGATTAGGATGACCATTTACCTATTTTCTTTGATGATTTAAAGGTTGGATTTGATTGAAGAATTTAGAGACTTAAGCTTAGTGAGTGAGCTTACCCTTAGGAGCATGGAATTGGGTATATTGAAAATGACTAGTGAGTTAATGGATGAAATTAGAGAAACCAACAGTCAAATCCTTTCTTAGTGAACCAAGTGGAGAAGATTAGTAGGGGTATAAATAACTTTTTCTAAGTAGGAATTGACATTGTTTTGAGGTGCAAGAAAAAAATTTGGGTGCCTAGTAATCTCAAATTAAGGAAGATGATCTTAGAGGAAGGACATAAGAGTACTCTTAACATTCATTTAGGAGTTACTATGATGTATCAGAGTAGCACAGCGGAAGCATAGTGGCCTAAGGTGAAGAGAGGAGTAGAGGAATTTGTGTACTCGTGTTTAGTATGCTAAAAGTCTTTAGGACTTTTGCAGCCTTTAGATGTCCCATTTTGGGAGTGAGATGGTGTGTAGATAAACCTTGGTTGTAGGCTTGCCTAAGATGATTATGAAATTTGATTTTTTTTGGGTTATAGTGGTTAGACTCACCAAGTTTACTTGCCTTACCCTCGTTGATAATAGATATTCCTTGGTGAGATTGTTAGAGTTGTACATGAGTAAGGTAGTGAGGTTGTATAGGGATTAGAACACAAGATGTGAGGAGCCTACCTATTTCTGTTTACAGGTGAATTTCGGGGACAAAATTTCTACAAGGAAGGGAGAATTGTAACAACCCAATTTTCACAGATTGTTTGAGAGCCCAAAAGCCCAATAAGGGTAATTTAGTAGCCTATAACGGGTCGTTCCCAAATTGGAATGGGTCGTTCCAAACTACTAAAAAGAGGGTAATTTAGTAGCCTAGAACGAGTCATTCCCAAATTGGAACGGGTCGTTCCAAACTACTAAAATGAGTGATTTTGTAGTTCAGAACGGGCCGTTCCCAAACTGGAACAGGCCATTCCAAAATACAAAAATTGTCCACAAATTTTAGATGGGAACGGGGGGCGTTCCCAAATTGGAACGGGGCGTTCCAAATCACCAAAAATGCCTATAATCCTAATTGAGAATGGGTCATTCCAGATATGGCCATTGTGGTTTAAGTGCAACCCCAGAACGGGCTGTTCTGGTTTGAGAATGTTACGACAGTTGGCACCAAACAACTCATTGACATCAAATGGAAAAGAACTTAAATCTCCAAACCCTGTGTTCACAACATGAATCATGACATACTTCCTAACAATTTAAAACAAGCTCAACACTTCCTTAGATTAAAAATTATCGGTTATGATTCACAAATATAATAACTGAAATTAGGCATACCTTAGATTAAATGTGAGAACTTTATATGATAATCTGAAATGCAATTAGAAGTTTGTGACTTCTTAAACAAGAATGTATAATTTGGTCTCTTTAAAATTTGGTCTGACTTGTTTAATAAAAATAAGATCAGATTTAAGTTTTTAAGAAAACCTATTTATTTAAAAAAAGAATGAGCTTAGACTTATAAAAAAAATTGTTAGATTTGATAGGTCAGCTGATTTATCTATATAATATAATAAAAAAATTAATATAAATATATTATTTGAATAAGAATATAAGATTATCCTATTTCATCATAACCTGTGCGTGAGTGTACGTTAGTGTACATGGATGTACATGAATTATCCCTTTAACAGAAAATAATTTCATCTATTCACTCTTTGTGTCATTATATATGTACCCAATACCCTTAAGATCATTTCATGTATAATGAATTTTTTTTAATTTGTAAATTTTTATCTCAACTATTTTAGTTTTGTTAAAATATGAGTTGGTTATTTATAATATACCAAATTAGATATAAGAAATATTTAAAATATTTTTTTCATACGATTATCCTTTTTCATTATATATAAATGTATAGACTTACGGTCTATGTATGAGTGTATCCCAACATATATGATTGTGCATGAATTGTTCGTCTATATT